CCCTATATGTCATTACTTCATTGCTTCTTTTAGCAGAATAATATTTTTCTTGTGTGGATATACCACAGGTTACTTATCAGCTGATAGACATTTGGATGCTTTAAGGCTGTTAATGGATAATACTGCTATGAAAATGTTTTTCTGTGAACATATGTGAGTGTTTCTCTTGGGTATATTTAAGGAGTGGAACTATTATGTCATTGGTAACTCTAAATTTTTGAACAACTTCCTGACTGGTTTCTAAAACAGTTGCACCATTTTATCTCCCAACCAGTGGAACATGAGGGTTCAACTTTTTCCACCTCCTTGCTAAGACTTGGTATTTTTTAATGGTTCCTTTTTAATGTATTTTTCCACTACCCTCTATCCCCCCATCCCCTCTTGTCCCTAATGCTCATTTTTTATGTATTTTTCCACTCCCCCACCCCCGACAGTGTCCATATCATATGGTGTCACGGGTGCACATAGATACTCCATTTCTTGACCTCTAATTGTTAAGCCCTACACCCCAAGTGACTTCATGAATGTTAATTGAATAAAAGAATGGAATATTGTCTGTGTTCAGTTTGGATTCTTCAGCTTGTCCATAGAGACATGGCTACTGTTTCTGTTAAATGCTAATAACTTAAAGATATAAAGAGCATTAGAGGCTTCATTTTCAACCATCTCATCTCTAGAAAAAATAGACTTGCCACTTGAAAACTGCTTCTAAAATATAGCTTTTTGCTTCTGGCAAAAGTGGAGGAATAGAGCCCTGGCTGGTGTAGCTCAGTGGATTGAGCGTGAGCCTGCGAACCACACGATCACGGTTCGATTCCCAGTCAGGGCACATGCCTGGGTTGCAGGCCAGTTCCCTGCAGGCCAGTTCCCAGCAGGGGATGCACAAAAGGCAACCATACATTGATGTTTCTCTCCCTCTCTCCTTCCCCCCTTCCCCTCTAAAGATAAACAAATAAAATCTTAAAAAAAAGTGGAGGAATAGTTAAATATACTTTACATCCTCACACAACCAAAAGAAGGACAATAACAAACTTAAAAACAAAAAACAACCAGAACTGCAAGAAAATTGAACTGTATGTTGGTCTGACAACCAAGTAGTTAAAGAGGAACATTCGTTCAGACTGGTAGGAGAGGCAGAGATGGGCATCCAGGTATGGAGAGGATGTGCTGCAAGGAAATAGCTAGAGGAGTGGATGGGTGAGGCAGTGACTGGTGGACCAGGCAGTTCCACATTTGTGTGCAGATAAGCCACGAAAAACAACTGGGGAGCAAGGCAGACCACGTAACCCAGAGTTCCAGGATGTGGAAAAAAAGCCTCAAAACCTCTGGCTGTAAAAATGTGGGGATTGTGGGGGAGGGAGAAACTCCTAGCCTCACAGGAGAGTTCATTTGAGAGACTCACAGAGTCCTAGAATGTACATAAACCCACCTACCCAGGAATCAGCACCAGAAGGGCCCAGTTTGCTTGTGGGTAGCAGGGGTAACTGAAAGCCCACTGGGAGCTGAGCAAGCTGCATTGTTCCCTCTCTGACCCTGCTCCCACATATAGCACCGTAGCGCAATGAGGTGGGATGCCACGTCCTGGTGAATACCTGAGACTCCACCCCTTACAATATAACAGCAGCACTGAGACAAAAAAAAATTATGGCACAAATGAAAGAACAGTTCCAAGCTCCAAAACCAGAACCAAGCAATGAAGAGATAGCCAACAAATCAGATGCAGACTTCAAAGCACTCGTAATCAGCACGCTCACCAAATGGTTGAGTATGGTCACAAAATAGAGGGAAAAGTGAAGGCTATGCAAAGTAAAATAAAGAAAAATGTACACGGAACGAAGAGTGAAGGGAAGGAAACCGGGAAACAAATCAGCAATTTGGACCAGAAGGAAGAAATAAACATTCAGAACAGAATGAAGAAACAAGTATTCAGAAACAATGAGGAGAGGCTTAGGAACCTCTAGAACAACTGTAAACCCTTCAACATCCTAATCATAGGGGTACCAGAGGGAGAAGAGGAAGAGCAAGAAATGGAAAACTTACTTGAAAACATAATGAAGGAGAACTTCCCCAATCTGGCAAAGGAAATAGACTGCCAAGAAGTCCAGGAAGTTGAGAGAGTCCCAAAATAGTTGGACCCAAGGAAGCACACACCAAGGCACATTGTAATTATATTACCCAAGATTAAAGATGAGGAGAGAATCTTAAAAGCAGCAAGAGAAAAGGAGAGAGTTGCCTACAAAGGAGTGCGCCTAAGATTGTCAGCTGATTTCTCAAGAGAAACCTTACAGGCAAGAAGGGGCTGGAAAGAAGTCTTCAAAGTTATGAAAGGCAAAGACCTATATACAAGATGACTCTATCCAGCTAAGCTAACATTTGGAATGGAAGGGCAGATAAAGTGCTTCCCTGAGAAGGTCAAGTTAAAGGAGTTCATCATTTACAAGTCTGTATTATATAAAATGTTAAAGGGACTTATCTAAGAAGAAGAAGATGAACAAAACTATATGAATAGTCAAATGACAGCAAACTCACAACCACCAACAACTGAACCTAAAACAAACAAACAAACAATACAAAACACCTAAGCAAACAACTAGAGCAGGAAGAGAATCACAGAAATGGAGATCACATGGAGGGTTATCAATGGGGAGAGGCAGGGGAGAGCATGGGAGAAAAGGTACAGGGAATAACAAGCATAAATGGTGGGTAGAGACTTCTGGCCAAGATGGAGGCGTAGGTGGAAACAGTGTGCCTCCTCGCACAACTAAGTTTAAAGACAACGAAGTTTTAGTAACAAAAGTGCAGCCAAAACACAGAAAATTGAACTGTACGGAAGTCCGACAACAATAAACCATCCAGCCAGAACTGTAAGAGGGGCGGAGTGGGGTCCGACAGGAAAGCCAGGAGTGCAAGTGGCGGTTGCCGGATCCCCGGTGTGGGGTGGCAGCAGGTGCACCCAGTGAGGGCACAGGGCGGCTGGCTGACCACGGTCACATATTTGCGTGCAGATAAACCAAGGGAAGGAGCAAACAGTGAGACAGACCGCCTAGGCTAGGACCACAGCGATGGGAAATAGAGCCTGAAAACACCAATTGGAAAGACTTTCAGGGTCGAGGTGCTGGGAGAGGCTCCCAGGCTCACAGAGAGTTTGTTGGAGAGACCCACATGGTCCTGGAGGGTGCACAGGTCCACATACCCGGGAACAAGCACCAGAAAGCCCCAATTTGCTTGTGGGAAGCAGCAGAGAAGACCAAAATCCAAGAGAGAGCAGAAAAAAATGCTATTGTCCCTCTCTGACCCTGCCTCCACATACATCACAACCCAGCAACTGAGTGGCCCTGCCCAGGTGAAAGCTTAAGGCTCTGCCCCTGTCATACATAACAGGTGGAACAGACCAAAACATTATGGCTCAAGAACAGCTCAAAGCCCCAGAGCCTATAATTCTACGTGACCAAGAGATACCCAACCTTTCAGGTGCACAGTTCAAAACACTGGTGATCAGGATGCTCACACAATTGGTTGATTTCAGTCATAAATTAGAGGAACAAATGAAGGCTAAACTAATTGAAATGAAGGGAAATGCACAGGAAACCAACAGTAATGGAAAGGAAACTGGGACTCAAATCAAGGGAGTGGACCAGAAAGAAGAATGAAACACCGAACAGAAAAGAATGAAGAAACAAGAATTCAAATAAATGAGAAGAGGCTTAGGAACCTTCAGGACATCTTTAAACATTCCAACATTCAAATTATAGGGGTACCAGAAGGGGAAGAGGAACAGCCACGAGTGGGAAACTTATTGGAAGAAATAATAAAAGAGAACTTTCCCAATCTGGCAAAGGAAATAGACTTCCAGGAACTCCAGGAAGCTCAGAGAGTTCCAAAGAAGGTGGACCCAGGAAGGAACACACCAAGGCACATCATTACATTAGCCAAGCTTAACATGAAGGAGAGAATCCTAGAAGCAGCAAAAGATAAGGGGACAGTCACCTACAAAGGAGTTCCCATCAGACTGTCAGCTGATTTTTCAAAAGAGACCTTATAGGCAAGAAGGGTCTGGAAAGAGGTATTCCAAATCATGAAATTAAATACCGACATCCAAGATTGATCTATCCAGCAAAGCTTTCATTTAGAATGGAAGGGCAGATAAAGTACTTCTCAGATAAGATCAAATTCAAGGAGTTCATCATCACCAAGCCCTTATTATATGAAATGTTAAAGGGACTTATCTAAGAAAAAGAAGATTAAAAAATATGAACAGTGAAAGAACAGCAAACTCACAGTTATTAACAGCCACACCTAAAACAAAAGCAAATAATAGGACAGCTAGCTCAGTAGTGGAACCATAGAAATGGAGATCTTATGGAGGGTTAGCAACATGGGAGTGGGAGGAGGAGACGGGGGGGGGGAGAAGGTACAGGGAGTAAGTAGCATAGACAGTAGGTAGAAAATAGATAGGGGGGAGGGCAAGAATAGTATGGGAAATACCGAATCTAAAGAACTTGTGACACATGGACATAAACGAAAGGGGGGTTGGTGGGTGAGGGTTGTGCATTGTGGAGGTTAATGAAGGGGGGAATAGGACAACTGTAATGGCATAATCAATAAAATATATTTTAAAAAATTAAAAAATAAAAGACACTGGCAGCAAATATTTTTTTTTAAGCACAAATGGTAGGTAGAAAATAGACAGGTGGGTATAAGAATAGTATAGGAAATGGAGCAGCCAAATCATTTATATGTATGACCTATGAACATCAACTAAGGGGTGAATGCTGGAGGGAGGGAGTGCAGGGTGGAGGAGAATAAAGGGGAGAAAATAATGGAATAATATAATAGCATAACCAATATAATACATTAAAAAATAGTTTTACTTGTCTTTGCACATTATCCAAATTGTTATTTTTGTTTTTTGGGTTCCCTGTGTAGGCAGCCCAAGATTTGTGTTTATTCCTTATCTGAGGAGTTCTATAAAATGTTTAGACTGATAAATCAAGAAAGTTTCATCACAGCAGTTAGATTGTCTTTATTATAAGGTATACTTAACATACTTCAAAATGGTAGATTAAATATGTGATTTTAAGATTTTTAAAAGGATGTCAAAACCTGTGTTGTTCATATTTTAAAGGAACTTTTAACACTATAAACATTGACAGATGTAATGTATGTTTCTAATTCATTGTGCTAGAAAAATAGAAGTGTTTAATAATGTTTATATACTTTTTTGTGCTAACATTAACTAACCTTGTGAATAACAAAGCAGTTATTTATTAGAAAATGTTTATGTAACTAATATAAAGAAACCGTTCTCTAGTGAATTTACTATAAAAAGCATTTACCGCAGTTAAAATGGAACAGAGTAAAAGCTGTGACATTTTGGACAGTTGCTAAAATTTGCTAAATACAGGTTGTGATAAAATAAATTCTCATCCTATGTAATGATGCAGATGTTACCAACAATTTAAACTCAAGTCTTTGATCTTATCCTCACACACAATTCTTCATATATTGTTGTAAGCTACAAGTTTTTTGAAGTAAGAAATATATATCTATGAAGGTTCTTGCCATTCTTGATTTCCATAATAGTGAGTGTCAATGTTTTCTTCTGTTCCTTCTTGTTCTGAGCTTTCATGGCGATCATCCTGATCTTCACTATCAGCATCATCTTGAAATCTCCCTGAAACTTGGGTCTTCAGTTGTATTGTTTGGCCATTAATGTTTCTTTGTTCACCATAATAAATACTATGTATATGAGGGAAGCAGAGGAAAATGTATGAGTTTATAGGCTCTCTTAGCTTATTTTGGTCCACACGAATGTATGTTAAATGGTGGTAATATAGTGGGTCAACCGATGGACACATGACTGTAACATTGATATCTGAAAAACACAAATTAAAAATTAATCCTGCTATACTATATACATAATCGTATAGTGGATATTATTACAATTTTATATAGCTATAGTTTTATTAATTAGAATATAAGTAGAATTCAGTTTAAATATTTTTATAGTAATCAAATCGTAAAATGAAAATAAAACTAAATGACTTTTATATTATCAAAATAAATTATGGCTTCATTGAAAATTTAATAATTAATTAATGTATTATTAAAGTAATATATTTTAGTAGAAACAGCATCAAGAAGAAAAAATGAAAGTCATCTAAAGTCCCCCTGCTCAGAATACTCATATTTCTTCATATATTCTAAGTACTGTTCCTCAGTGTTCAAAGTGATAAAGCTTAATATATAAAACTGTAAATTTTATACCTTTCTCTGGGGCCAATTTTTGCATTTTTCTATCCACACTTCTCTAGATACTCATATTTCTTCATATACTCTATACTCTGTAGTACTACTTCTCAGTGTTCAAAGTGATACAATTTAATAGGAAAGGCTATGAACCTCATAGTACTCCTCTCTGGGGGCCATCTTCAAAGCAACTTATTTTCAACAATGTATAAAGCATAGATTTGTAAATAAATATTCTGTCTTTAAAAAAATAATGAAATTTTACATACTTTCAATTTCATTATTTTCTAGGTATAGGTGTTGTAAATTTCTTGGAATATAGAATGCTTGCTTCAGTTTATTGTGTCCAACATTGAGCTCTACAAGGTTGGAAAGATTAAAAATATTATATGGGATATCTTGTAGTTTGTTGTGTGACATTCTTAGAGCATGAAGTTTTGGAAGTTCATTGAAGTAATTTTCTGGGATAGAAGAAATTGAATTATTTTCTAAAGACAAATACATAAGTGAAGAAGGCAAACCAGGAGGCATTGATTCTAATCTGTTGTTACATAGGTTGAGCTGCAGTAATTTTTCCATTTTGACAAGGTTTTTTTCTTGTAACATAGAATCATCAAGATGATTATAACAGAGATCAAGCATAGTCAGGTTTACTAGCCCATCCACTGCATTTGTCTGCAATCTGGAGATCTCATTGTAACCAAGAAGAAGTCTCTCCAAAGACTTTGGAAGAGGAAATGGAAATTCTTCTAAGTGGTTATGCTGTAGGTGAAGTTGTAGTAGATTTGGCAACTTAGCAAAAACACCGTGATCAATCTTTTGAGATTTAATTTTGTTGTGACTGAGATTGATTTCTTTAAGATGAGTTGCATTGATGAACGACTCTGCAGTCACAGCCTCAATTTCATTGAACTGGAGGTAGACTTGCTGAATGTGTGCTGGAATACTTGGGATTCTCTGAAGTTTGCGATTATCACAGTACATTGATGATGGAAAGTTAGGTGGACAGAAGCACTCACTGGCACAGCCTAAAGTATGCTGATGAAAAGGCACTCCATAGTCTACATTTTGATGAAAATGGAATTCTGGTTGGTAAACGTCATCTGGCTCTTGGTCATAATCTTCATCCCATTGATAACTTTCATACTGGCAATATACTTTGAGTCCGAGCAAGAAGAAAAGTATACATACTGGACTTAAAAAGCCCATCATCTCTTTTTGTCCTATTTCAAGAAGGAAAGGAAATATATTGTGAGAAAAGTGAATGATATTTATAAAATTTTTTGCATAAACTGACAATTACACAAAACACATAATATCAATATGTATATTGAAACATAAAAAGAATGTCCAGAATGAATGGGCAATACTGAAGCCAAAATTAATGTTTATGTCATAGTAAGGAGGTTTTTTTTCCTTTTAAAGTCACATGTTGTATTGAACCAGACTAAATAACCCTCTTTTAAAAGAATTTCAGCTTGTCTTGCTAGTTTCCTAGACTATAGATTTTCAATGATAGCATGATGTCTCAACTACAAAGTTGATGTTTCCTTTACTCTAAATGCTGGGTGTTCTCATTGACTATTTGGTCCCTTGGTAATGGTCACTACCCATGAGAGGAGAGACCCGATGTTTTACTTAGAGAGCTTTTATCTAAGCGTTTCTTTATTAATATTAACCAAAAGTTTCCCACTCAACTTCTGTTTACTGGTAATGCTCTTTTCTGCCCTTTGGGAGAACATGAAACACTTCCTTTTATGTGAGAGCTTGAGATATTAAAAATGGCTATCATGTTTCCTCTTTGTGTTCTCTATCCAAGCCTAACCATGACTTCAGATTTTCCCCATGAAACAGTTTCCAAAATCCGATTATTTCATCTCTGAGTCTGCTTGAATAACGAAGTCAAATTGCAAAAATACATACAATATTTACTTTCTACCACTTTTTTTAGTTTCTAATAGGTTATGCTATACATTTTGCTTATTATCTTCCTAACTTTCTTCTTTCTACTTAGATTTTTGAGTTAAGCTTGATATACAGATATTAAAAATATTCTCTGTTGTATCTCAGGAGTTTAGGTCTAGTGGAGAATCAGAGAGATGTGTAATGCATTAAGTAGAAGGGTATGTGTGGGTTGGGCTTGTAGTAGAGGGAGTGCTCAGCTTGAGAAAGGCAGACAATTAGCACTCATGCTGAAACTTGAGGTTGTAGTAAATGGTGGATTGTGTACTGGATGAGGAGCCTGAAAATCTTCATTTAAATTCTGTCACTTATGATGATAAAGTCACTTAACCTATTTGCCTCTTGCCTCACAAGTAAAATTAAGAATTATAAGTGCTTGCCTGTTTATCTTGTCTGGTAGTTGTTAGGGTCATATGAAGTATGCACATTAAGTGTGCTTTGCAAGTTTAAAATGATCCAAATGTAATAATTATGTTGTAAAAAAAATCATACCTCTTTTTTTCGGAGGCCATTTTTCTCTGTTCTTCTCATCCAGGGTTTCAGGAGAAAATGAATGTCTTAACACATTGTATGCAATAAAATGAGTTATATTTTATTTATCTAGAATAGTACTTGTTATTTTTTCATTGGGATAATTGAGAAAATAATTACTTAAATTATTTTCACTGAATAATTTAAGTAATTATTTTCAGAACCTCATTTCAGAAAAGCAGCCCTAGACCCTAACATTCCAGTTTTGTGTTTCCTCATCAGAAATTAAAAATTGGAAGAATGTAAATTGTGTGCATTTGGGAATTGAAGTAGTTATTCAAGTAGAGTCGGAGGCCCTTGATCTTTTTTCTTTCACTTATATTTTCTCTAGTCTTTCTTACCAGGGCCTGAATTCTGACATAAAGAATTTACACTCTAGGACTAAACACCTAATTTAATGTATTAATATAGTTGAACTGTGGTCTCCATACAGCAATGTTCATTCATGAAATAGGAGAGAGACCTGGGAGGAGAAAAAGTAAAGGAGTGTGGTCTAATTCCAAAGGGTAGTGCACTGATGGCTGATCTAGATGAGGAGGGTGGTGCAGGAAGCTCCCAGGTGAGTCTAATTGGAAGTGCTCTTTCATCTGTTGTAGTTAGCGACTTATACTAGATGTTGTGTATGAAGTACACCATAGAGTTTGGGTTCTATAAGTTTGATGTGTCCCAGAAAGGTAAAAGTAGAAGCAGAGGCAGAGATATATATTTGGGTGTGGTCAGGGTATGTAAGAGGGTCTCAGAAGCTTACTGTTACACAGTTGAACTTTGAAAAGAGTGTTCATCAGAACTCTGAATGTTATTCTTGTGTTAAGAACATTCATTAGCAATCATCAATTAGTAACGTTACATTTGAGGATTAAAGTCACAACTCTGTTCAGTAATTATTATAAATTATTGAGAACAAAAAGGAGACCTAGATGATACTTTTGATCCTGAACTTAATTGCATACCTTTAACCTGGAATCAAGACCTTGTGATGATGGGGCCTCTCTGGAAATAAAGGGGTTCTCTTGTCTGTTTTGGTCTCTTTGGCTATCTAAGAAACAAGGTTTCTCTTCTAAGTCTGAACTCATCATTGTCCTTATTCCTTGAGTACCATGGCCCTGTATCTCCGCCTTGCCCTACTCCCTTTTGCCTGTTACTGTAGATAGCTTTCTGATCTGAAATCTGTCTCATCTCCATCCATATGTTCATTATTTTCTATTCCTCTTACTCTTTAACTTTACCCATGATAATTTTTCATTACAGTCATGTCTTACTTCTTTTCATCCAAATTTTCATTCATCTAATCTCTTCCCAGCCATTTGCTAATAAGTATGTTTTGATTACTTATGTACTTACTAATTTGATTTGCTAATAAGACATTTTATGTTCTACAATTTATGCCTTTCCAATAGAATAACTCATAGAAAAACATTATAACTCACTGTCAATCATCTCATTTCCTGACCTCTAATTTTTGACAGAACCTAGTACAATTCACATTGTATGAGGGATCAAAATTTTGTTGGATGAATGATCAGTTTAATAAATTATAGATTCCCTCTCATTAATGATACTTATAACATTAATGTTTGTATATTTCTAGGAATATGTGTATGTCATCACAGTGTTTTCTTTAAATGAACATAGGTCACAAAGAATGTAGCTTTTTGTCTATTAAATATGTCTCCATCACAATATACTTATTAATTTTCCTATTATATTGAGCAATAGAAAAAGAACAAATATGAACAAGAAAGTAAAATACAAAATACCACTTTTAAAAAATTATTTGTTAATATGAATTTTTCATATTATAGCTATAAAAGTTTCGAGGACTGCTGGCCAAGATGGTGGCATAGGTAGACACACTGTGCCTCTTCGAACAACCAAAATAAGGACAACAACAATTCAGAAATAAAGTAACAACCAAAACTGAAAGAAAATTGAACTGTATGAAAGTCCGACAACCAAGGAGTTAAAATAGACACATTCATCCAGACTGGTAGGCGAGGCAGAGTTGGGCAGACAAGCAGAGAGGGGTCTCGGCACAGGAAGCGGTGACACCAGGTGTGCAAAGGCTCCCCAGGTGTCCAAGGTGACACCAGGAAGACCCTGGGCACCCAGGCGGCGGCTGGCAGACCCCGGGCATGGGGTGGCAACAGGCAAACCCAGGGAGGCTGTGATTGAGAAGCGGGGCACTGTGCGCAAGGTGGCTGGCTGACCCGGCAGTTATTTGCACGCAGATAACTGGGTGAGACAGATTGTGCAACCTAGGGTTTTAGCGCTGGGAAATAAAGCCTCAAACCACCAATTGAAAACACTTGTGGGGGTTCAGTCACAGGGAGAGGCTCCCACCCTTATAGGAAAGTTTGTTGGAGAAACCTACAGGGTCCTAGAACTCACACAAGTCCACCCACATGGGAATCAGCACCAGAAAGGCCGAGTTTGCTTGGGGGAAGTGGTGGAAGGGACTGACGTACAACAGAGAGCTGAGCAAGGCACCATTTTTTTCCCTCTTGGACCCCACCCTCATATACAGTGTCACAACTGAGCAACTTGGGTTTCCCCACCCTGGTGAACACTTAAGGCTCCGCCTCTCATACATAATAGGTGCGAACAGACCAAAACATTATGGCTCAAGCAGAAAAACAAATCAAAGCCGCAGAGCCAATACTTCCAAGTGACCAAGAGATAGCCAACCTATCAGATGCACAGTTCAAAACACTGGTGATCAGTATGCTCACAGAACTGGCTGATTTTAGTCACAAATTAGAGGAACAAATGAAGGCTAAACTAATTGAAATGAAGGGAAATGCACAGGGAACCAATAGTGTTGGGAAAGAAACTGGGACTCAAATCAATGTAGTAGACCAGAAGAAGGAAAGAAACATTCATTCAGAACAGAATGAAGAAACAAGAATTCAAAAAGATGAGAGGCTTAGCAACCTTCAGGACATCTTTAAACATTCCAACATTTGAATTATAGGGGTACAAGAAGAGGAAGAGCAAGAAATTGAAAATGTATTTGAACAAATATTGAAGGAGAACTTCCCCAGTCTGGCAAAGGAAATAGACTTCCAGGAAGTCCAGGAAGCTCAGAGAGTCCCAAAGAAGTTGGATCCCAGGAGGAACACACCAAAGCACATTATAATTATATTAGCCAAGATAAAAATTGAGAGAATCCTAGGAGCAGCAAGAGATAAAGAGACAGTAACTTACAAAGGAATTCCCATCAGACTGTCAGCTGATTTCTCAAAAGAGACCTTACAGGCAAGGAGGGGCTGGAAAGTATTCCAAGTCATGAAAGATAAGGACCTACATCCAAGATTGCTCTATCCAGCAAAGCTTTCATTTAGAATGGAAGGGCAGATAAAGTGCTTCTCAGTTAAGGTCAAGTTCAAGGAGTTCATCATCACCAAGCCCTTATTATGTGAAATGTTAAAGGGACTTATCCAAGAAAAAGAAAATAAAAAACATGTATACTAAAATGACAGCAAATTCCCAATTACTAACAACCACACCTAAAATGAAAACAAACTAAGGGAACAAGTAGAACAGGAACAGAACCACAGAATGGAGATCACATGGAGTGTTAGCAACAGGGGAATGGCAGGGGGAGAGGTGGGGAAAGGTTCAGAGAATAAGTAGCATAGATGGCAGGCATAAAATAGGGGAGGCAAGAATAGTATGGGAAATGTAAAAACTAAAGAACTTAAGACACATGGACATGAACTAAAGGGGGGAATGTGGGAGGGAGAGTGTGTGAAGGGTGGAGGAAAATGAAGGGGGGAAATGGACAACTCTTATAACATAATCAATAAAATATATTTAAAAAGAAAAAAGTTTCTATGCCATAACATTTCTCTGCCTTGGAAAAAAGCACTCATGCTTTCATCAGGAAAGTTCTGATTAAAATGATTAATTAAAATGAGATCGAATTTTGTTCTCGAAAGTTTAAAGTAATTGGAAAGCCTCATAGCATTTTATTGTTTTAAAATATTTTTTTCTCGAAAGTTTAAAGTAATTGGAAAGCCTCATAGCATTTTATTGTTTTAAAATATTCATTTTTTTCTCAGTATGTCACAGAAACTAGAATATGAGAAACCAAGAATTAGTATATGATTCAGAATTTCTTTAAAGCAGTTTTAAATTTAACTTTGTAAAGTTAGTATGCTGTCACTACTACACCCAAGGCCTAAGGAAATAATATTCTTTTGCTATTAAAACTATGAAAGTCTCTAAATTATTTTTAGCCATAATACATTTAAATCTTAACCCAAACCCAAGCAAATAGATGCTTTAGTACCAGATAGAACCCTCATATCTTTCCTTTGTGAAAGAGGGGGAAAAATGTTCTAAATACCAGGGATTTGATCAATGGAGAATTTTGAGAAAATTTCTAGTGAAATTTGTATAAATACCCATCTTCCCTACTGCCCCAGTCTGTAACCCTGCTCTGATGTATTGCTCAAAGGCATTTGTCAGGTTTTTGTCATTTAAAGTTGAGAGACAGAAAGAAACAGAAAAATATTTCATTAACCTAAGAATCTTTAATTCAAAACAAAAAATATATAAAACAAAGATCATTTATTGGATACATCTTAAGTTAGAAAATTAAATTCACTTTTATACTTTTTTCCCAAATAATTTGGCTAATAAAAGTTTTAATGTAGCTTTTACCAGATACTGCTTCCAAAAATTGTGATTTTATGATAGCTGAAATCTATTTTAATGTTAAATAAATCAAATATACTTTTTTTATTTTTAAGAGTAGGAATACTTTCCTAAAAAATTGAAAATTATTTTGTCACCATACCTTTTGAGTTTGCTTTAGTTTTCAGGGGTTGATGAATATGCCAATCCTGTGAATGAATAAGAAATTCCTAAGTTCTTTAACTCAGTCTCTTAAAAATCCTCAGTAACTGTGTTTAAATAGGGCTGTCTCTTGAATCACTGTAGCAATATAATCTGCCTGGAAAATGCTTGGGTTGAATTAAAATCATGTTTTTCTTTTCATTATCCAAAGCTTTGTGGATTTGAATTGAGATGCTTGTGTTCTTGGTAAGATTTCTGTGGCTTGCTTCTTTCTTTACAAACCCTTGAATTTGCTTTGAGGTATTGTAAGAATTTCCTCTAATATGAAAGGCAGACTGAACTAAATGAAACAGTATGTACTGATTACTGTTTTTATTTTCATTTTCGTGCCAAAAGAATTCTTCAAATTAAGGTCCACTGTAATATGGAGCTCAGAGTCTCAGCAATTTAAGGTGGAACTCAGTAATTTTAGATCTTGCTTGTCTGATACCCTGTGTTCATACTAGTGCTTCCTTTCATTAAGACAGGGAACTAGGATTAGAAACATAGCATTTCACATCTAGTTAATTTTTAAATGAAGTAGATTGTCATTGGTCACACAGATTAAATATATAACTTTTCGATACAAAGAATTATATCCTCTTTTCTCTCAGCTATCACCTTCCTCCCAAATATACTAATTAGATTGACTTATAATAATGCTTGAAATAAAAAAAGATCTCTTTGTTATAGAATTCTGTGTTTCACTTTTACAAGGTATATCTCTGATTGGCCTGTTTTTTGTAGTATAAAAAATTATTTCATAGTATTGAATAAAATGGAATTAGGAACTTCTGCTGACCAATTACTATTACAGAAAATGTTCTAATTTCTCTAAACTGTCTCTCCTGAAGAGTAGCAATTGACTGCCTAAATGCTATGTTTTTATACTAAAGTTTTCATATTTTGAACAGAGAGTTAATTTGTGTCTCTTGGCAGTAAACTTTAAGTTCATTCTTTGGGAGATTCTTTCAAGCTTGTGTAAACTAATAAGGTAAAGTGAATCCTGGAATTTGTTTTGCTTTTCTTTCCCCTTCAAAATTGTGTTTTCCATTAGATTTTTTAAAAAATCACATTATTTATTTTGTTACACTTCAGATTTTTAAAAAGCTTACAGTATTTCAAGTGATGCTGTGGCAATATAGAAAAAAATCTCTATTATTTTAGACTCTGGTATGCAAAATGTGGCGGACTATACTTGGGCCAAGATTTCATCTTGTTACTGATCTTTTCCATATGTTTTCTATTAGTCTTTGTTCTTAAACCTTAAGCTTCCACACTAAGGAACAGAGAGCAAATCTGTGTACTTTATCCAAAAATTATTTTTTATAGTGCCCTCATAGTTATTTATCAAGATAGCTTAACTTGAAGTGTCTAGGAAATTTAAATGGGATTGACGGTGTCTAGGAGGTTTAGGTTTGGCAGTGGGGGTGTGGCGGGTGGAGATTGGTGGGAAGGGTGGTTCAAGTCAGGCCTTAGAAGAAAAGTAGAAGCTGTGATTGTGAGAGTGCACTGTTTTAGTTAGGTGTTTGTAATTGAAGCAGTTGAGTAGAGAAGTTATTTGAATTGGTAAAAAATCTAAATTACATTCTGCAATTATAGTTTGATGGAAGCCAATACAGTATCTCAAGCCTAAATAACATATCACTTGATAGGAAAAGTCTACTGAGACCTGCTTAATTATGGTAATAAGAATAAATATTTTTTATTTCTTTAATAATTTAGTTTGTATTTACTGAGCACCACCTTTGTCAAGGCAGTTTTAGGGGCTAAGGACCCAACAGTAAAAGTCCCTGTTGTCATGGAGGAGGAAAACAGAAAATAAAAATATTAAGTGGTGTGAAGTGCAACAGAAGAATAAAGCAAGGTAGATGGATAAAAACAAATGAGCGCAGGCGTTCAGATCAACACTTCTGACACTTCTGTGATGTTGGCTGGAACGGAATGATTTCATAACTGGCCCACAGGAGACCCAGGTATCCCACTGCTGTAGGAACGTTACAGACAAGCAAGGGGAGGCGGTGGGAACAATCCATGTGGTGATGGATCAGAGCTGGCGATGTCAGTACGAATTCATGTTCAACTTCATATACATACAGTTGGCTATGTCTAGAAATTTTTATAGATGTTTGCGTGTGTTGATACATGGGCCTGAGTATACATATCTGTCTCCTGGCACTGCTGGCTGAGAGGTCCTAGAAGCAGTGGCATGCTCTCAGCAACAAGCACCTAGCACCAACCAAGATCTTGGTCTCTAATACCTTCTCCAATAAAAAAGACCAGGGATCTATGGAGAAATGTCTTATTTCAGGCCTGGAGCAGGGAATACATAGGATGAGCCTGGAGCATTTTGCAGTGCTGGAAAGTAAGGAGGTACTAAGAAAGAAAGAGATATGGGAAATCTATGTAACTTCTGCTCGGTTTTGCTGTGAATCTAAAACTGCTCTAAAAAATGAAGTCTCTAAAAAATTAATAAGTTTTAAAAAGGGGAGTTACTATTTTAAATAGTTTTTCAAAGACCTGCATATAGTGAGGGAGCAAGTCAAGTTGATATAAGAGGGACAAAAGATGCCATGTGTGGTGATGTTCACTTGGTATGATCTAGGTGGAGGTGTAGGGTTATCATCATAGAGGCTTCTGGGGCCAGCAAGAACAGTGTATGCCTCTGACATGCTTGGGTGTCTCAGCTTCCCAACATTCTAAATCAAATTATGTTTAGGAGGCAGATATGACACTTAGTTGATGAGCTGCTTCTGTCAGAAAGACCATGTAGGCAGCCCTACAGAAATACTCCAAACCCTGGATTATTTTGCCCAGCAGACATGGTCCACTTTTGTGCATCTGTCTCTACAAGGCTATGAGGAGCTTATGCTCTCGAATACATGACTAGCTTCTATTTCCCTCATCATTTGCTCTTCCCATAAAGTGGTGACTCCATTCCAGCCTAACCCACTCTTTATGTAAGCCAGAATCTTGGGAGTCCTCTAAATCAGTCCATCCCCAAACGTGGGAGATTCATCAATATATGAACTGCTAGGGATGCTGGTTTAAAAATTCAGGCTCCAGCATCTTTATACCCTAGACCTACAAAATTAGAACCCCTGAGTGTGGGTCCAGGAACTTATATTTTTAAGAAGAGTTCCAGGTGTTCCAGTGAAACTTGAAAAAACCACTGATTGTATCCAAAACTGTATTCCTGAGTCCTTTGTGTTCTAGCACCTAAATAACTTTTTAGTGTGTTTGTACCTCTTGTTATTCACTGCCACAGTCTTTCCAGAGACCAGGTCACCCAGATGTTTTCTGTAGTATCTTGATTGGTCCTCCCAGGGCTCACACATCTCCCTCTCCAACCCATTTTCACCATGATCTACATAAAAATAAATTTGAATTTTACAAAGTTTCTGCTTAAAATTTTCCAGTGGTGTGTGATATTTTACAATAAATTCTAAATCAACCTTCATGTTGAGGGAAGCTCTGACAGCCTACCACCTGCCCATTCTTAGACAGCTGACTTATGTTTTTGGGTTCTATCCTCACTAACCATCAAGCTGCCCTGCTCCTTGCTCACTAATGCCTTGGCATGTGCCTTTGCCTTTTCTTGGAATGTTGTGCCATTATTTGTCTGTTTACTCCTTTCCACCTAGGCTCCCTCTTATGACTGCCATGTCCCCAAACTATCTGTGTGTGCTCAGTAAATATTATTTGATGAATAAATGAATGAATATTCAGTACCTTCTAATATTCTCCCTCTTGTCTATATTTGAATATCTTTCTCACTTCTTGCTTGGTGGAGGAAACATGGCCCTAAAAACCTGCCCCATGCCATCCCAGAGATAGTCCTCCTGCATGTTCTCTTGTGGTTGGTTCCTTGACTTCATCTGGTCAGCTGATTGGTGGACTTCATATGTCCTGCATAGAATACTTTTGTTAGAATAAAAACACAAATGCAGATATGCTGAGAAAAGAACTGGTTTAATAGACCAGTTGGGAACTGGTTTATTAAAGTCTACGGAAAAACAGAAACAAAGAAATGAGTAGTTCTTATCCTTAACACAGCTTCTGGATCACCTTTGAAGGTTCTGAAACTTCGGATCTGGATGGAACACACCAATTTTATGTTTAAATGACTCAAAGGTTGAAACGGTAAACATTTTTGCCTCTATTTCTAGTCATAGTACTTCTGACAATAGATGTCTGTGTTTTTTCTCATCCCAGTCAATTATCCGACACCAGCTAGATGTCCTACAGTTTAATTCAATTCTGACACTGTCTGCCTAGAGTTAGTGTCATATCTAATGCATCAAAGTCTCAGTCCCACACCAACTTTAAACACAAGTTGTAAGTAGAAGGTCTTCAGGTCACTGGCAACTTCTGTCCAACTTGGCTACAAATTAGGGGGCTCCCATGACTCACTCCTCAGATTAGGCAATTTGCCATAATAGAACTCAGAGAAACACTTAATATGTTTACCAATTATTATATAATAAAGCATATGATAAAGGATACAGATATACAGCTAGATGAAGAGCTACATATGGTGAGGTCTGGAAAGATTCTGAGTGTAGGAGCTTCTGTACCTATGGAGTTGAAGTAAGTCACCCTCCTCCTGGATGTGTTCAGTAACCTGGAGGCTCTCTGAACCCTGTGCATGAGGAGTCTTTATGGGGCTTCATTATGTAGGCATGATCAATCATAAACTCAGTCTTCATCCCCTCTACTTCCCTGGTGGATGATGGGTAAGATTGAAAGTTCCAGTTTCCTAATTATGGCTTAGTCTTTCTAGTGACCAGCTCCCATCTTGAAGTTATCCAGGAGCCCACTAAGTGTAGCCTCCTTAAAACAAAAACCCTCCTATCACTCAGGAAGTTCCAGAAGAGTTATGAGCTCTGTGTTAAGCAAAGGGGTCCAAGACCAAATATCAGAACAAAAGAAGCTCTTAGTGCTCCTACCATGCAGTGAAGTATATTTTAGGAGTTCTGTGTAAGGAACAGGGCAGGCAGAGATTAATATGTATTTCTGATGTCACAAAGGTACACCACGAAAACTCATTCTGTAGCTTCTCTCCCCCGTCCCTCTGGTTCACATACCAGTGGCCCTTGCTAAGGACCAACGCATTGCATGACTCCAAGGGACACATTCACTGCTGTTCAGACCT